TGATATAAATTCCTCATATGTGTGATATAAATTCCTCATATTTTTCATAGAAAACTGAACATGGAAGATAATAAATATTTAATTCTTAGCTGCAGAGTCAACTCAACAAAAATATTGAAATCTCATTCATTTTGCAGTAAAGGAAAAATGGACCTAATAGGTTTAGCTGGTATGCACCTTGCTGAAAAATCTCATATATTCAACCAACGTGGTTTCAAAATGACTGCCTTATGATCCTCAAACATTCAGTGTTTTCTAATTTACTCAGTAAGGCAGGAAACCTGGCTGACTGATCCTCTATCCTTACAAAGATTTATAAAACCTCATTACCTTCAACTGTTGCATTTGCCCACATGAGCAATTATAGAGAAGAAATAAATGAGGGAAAGCAAGGAGGAAAAAAGATACAATTCTTAGTTGAGCTTTCCTTATACACATTCTACACATTAAAACATATTTTGTGCAAATGGAAGTTTTCAGGTATGTTTTGATAAATATGATGGTTTCTCCATTAAGAAGCCTTACAACTTTAAGCAAGTTCTTTAAGTCTTAGTTTCCTCAAGATAAAAGACTGGTCTGGTAAATCCATAGGATCTCTCCCAGCTGACAAATTATATACTTCTAAAGCTCAAGAAAATCTTTTAAAAAAATAATGTTTAATAATTGGGGGTGGAGGACATATACATTAATGCAACCATGTGGCCTTGAAAATAAAAACCAAAATAAAAATAAAAAATCAAAAACCAAGAGTAACTTAAAGCATAATTACATTAAAATGATAATAAAAAATACATAGATAGATCGATGAAGGGGATTAAGATTTAACGATTTAACGTCAGTCACTTGAAAGGGGGAATAAGGTAGTGGAGACAGTGTTATCCATATAAAATCAACGATCACTTGATTTGATTTCTTAAGCCAGAAAGTTTCTGCATCAGAAAATCACCTAACAGGTGAGAGCACAACATTAAAGACAATAAGTTGCAACAGTGAAGCTGTGAGAAAAAGACATCAAATGATAATTAACACACAAAAATGTATCTTTTTAAATGCAGTGATTTTTATCCATTCTGTAATCTCAAAAAAAAAATGCAGCCTTTGTCTAACTGCTCTTCCCCTCCTCATCCTATTTGAAACTGTGTTCTCAAGACCATCACGGTATGCAGTTTTAAACGGGGTTCTTAACTTTCAGTCTCTGTTTGAAACTGGTCACTTCACTTAACCAGCTCCAAAACTGGCCCGCATGCCCTCCCTTGGGCTTCCCCGGTGGTTCAGTGGTAAGGAACCTGCCTTCCAGCGCAGGACACGTGGGCTTGATCCCTGGGTTGAGAAGATGCCCTGTGACACGGCAACCTGATCCAGTATTCTTGCTTGGGACATCCCATGGACCGAGGAGCCTGGCGGGCTACAGTCCATGGGATGACAAAAGAGTCAGACTTAATTCAGTGACTAAACAACAACAACAACAACATTCCCTTCCTCAGCTTTTTCCATCACTGAATGGCGAGATAAACAAACCTTTACATGAGAACAAAGAGCGGAAATCAGAACTTTCTATTAGCTTTCCCTGATAATTTAGGGGGGGAAAAAACAGCATGATTTTTAAATGAATTGTCTTCTTTCTCATCTGGGTTCTAAGTTATTCTACCACAGACCTACAAATCTAGTATAGTTGTTCAGGGACTCACCCTAGAAGTATTTTTAAGAAGTAGAATAAATTTTACTGTTCTGTACAGAAAAAAAAAAAAAAAAAAGATTTCAGAGACTTCCCCGGAGTATTCATTTCTCTGTAAATAACAGGAATGCTTAAAAAAAGAAAAAATATAACCAGTGACAATCATATTTAAGGATGAGAAGTTACATTTGCCAAAATCCATCCCTGAAATACGTGAGGACGATTCAGTAGATTAAATCAGCAATCGTCACAGAATTTAAACCCCCCAAAGTTGTAAACAAAATATATAGAGTGCTCTTTTGTTCATGACATGTCATGAACAAATTACCAAAATGTGTTTTCTCCTCAGGTGTCAGTTTTTCCCTCTTTTAGTGACTGATGGTTCCCAGTGTTATTACAGAAACAGATTGATCTTTTTAATGAGCCAGTTTAATAGACTCCAAAATCTCACCGTGGCTGCTCATCCATGTCAGACCATATGCACCAACAAAACATTCAGTAAAACAAAAAAAAGCTCTGTCAGACAGCTCCATACTCTATAAAATTTCATACAGTAGGTCTGGATATACAGATAAATAACTGGAGAAGAGAAAAATGCATATGCAAACAGGATGCAGAAAATATATGCAAAGAAACACGTAGAGGCCCATATTTTCTTGGCTCTGATGAAATTCCCACAAGATACAAATGTGTTTACACAACATGTTCTCAGTACCCTTCCTCCGAACTCTAAGGAAATCCATTTGCCATCTTTCCATTATAACACACACTTCAGGGTTCCACTTGAAAAAGAATGTTCCAGCCAAAGAGCAACTGTGTGAATTCTGACTCCAGCAACTGTCTATGAATAACCAGAGGGGAACAAGACTAAAGGCTCTTTTAAGAAAGTTCTATCTGACTGAACACAAACACACATGCGTACACCGTTACAGATCGTCACAACAAAAATGCTGATTTTCTGTGGAATTCATACGAAGTTTCCATGTCGACGTTAGCACGTTGCCAGGCTTACCTCAATATGGTTCAAGAGAGGTCTAAAGTTACAGGATATTCACATATAAAACACTGGGATAGAAACAGTGGAGAGAGGGCTGAAAATATAGAGAAGTAGATAAAACAAGCTTTTATTCTGCCTGTTACGGTTACTGAGCATTTAAAGTTTCTAGAATATATTGTGTTCTTGTCTAAGTTTGGCTGTAGGATTATCTTTACATGTATCACAGTCATCTAAACCTTTCCCTGTTATCCCTTCCTCCACCCAAATAAATGTCCTCCTTCCCAACTTTCCATCTAGTCTCTCCCTAACTTTCTTTACCGCACTGTCTTGGAAAAATGGAGAGGAAACATCTCAATACCAGCACACAGGACTGATTCCCTTCAGGGTAAGAGGTTAGGATCAGACAGGAATTCACATCTATCCTTGGGCTGGCTCCTGGTTTTCAGCATCACGGGGACATGTCACTCAGACACCTGGATTAAGCACTGCCTTTAAAGCTAAAGTACCAAATGCTTAAATACGACTAGAAAAATACAGCTTGCAAAAACAAGAAAGTAGCACTGTTGGCAGGTCATGGAAGGAGGTTGGGTCTACAGGATGTCAGAAGTAAACTAACATTTAACCCTTTGCTTTACGATTTTAAACTATTAAAGAGGTCCCATGTCACAAGGAGAAAAATTCCAGAGATTGGAGCATAAAAACTGCTTAACAGAGGATTATGTAATAACTATATGTAAACTGGCTGGCTTTTAATAACATTCTGATTTGCACAGCAGCTAATACATTTAAGGGTAGCTAAGTCGGTCACAGATAGAAGGATGGTAAGCTCCTATGAATCTGCGCCAGAGTGTTAACCCTTCAAAGGCTGGTCTCCTCTTGCCTAATAAAATGCAGAAAGAGTGAATGGATAAACAGAGGAAAGAAACAAAGCATATGACAAATACGTTTCTGAATACAGTTTCATTTTAAGATTCTCCATATTTTACAAATGCAAGATACTAATAAGACTTCATATTTTTGCATTAGAAAATATTTATAAATGAAGCTGAGGTATTCAGGAAACTTATTTTAATAAGGTACATTGGAAGTTTCATGTGTATGCCTTATTCAACAAGTAATTTGTAAGGTTTCATGGAGAAGGGGCTTTATTTTACATCTTAGAATTCTCAGTTATGACAGCAGAGAACCTGGAGGAATGAATATTGACTGGTAGATAAAATTTAACAGAAAAAAATGCCACCTATTAGTTCTATTACTGAACTCTTATATTCACTCAGTTCAACTAGCTTCACTCAAGTTTTCTCTTAGTTCATACAAAATCCAAATTAAACAGCTACTGTACTATGTTTAGGCCAGACTTCAAAATGATCATGTTCTGAGAAAACTTGGAATAATAAATTATTGGGATAATAAAATATGTGCTTTGGATGAATCATATAGTAAATGAGAAGTTTAATATAGGCATACCTTGGAGACACTGTATGTTCCATATCAAATCACCATGATAAAGCAAATAAAGCCAGTCACACAATTTTTTTTTCCTTTCCAGTGCTCATAAAAGTTCTGTTTACACTATACTATAGTCTCTTAAGTGTACAGTAGCACTATGTATAAAAAAAAGTATATACCTTACTTAAAAAACAATTTATTTCTTAAAAACACCAAAACAATTACAATGGTTAACATTAAAGATGACTGACCACAGATAACCGTAACAAATACAATAATGAAAAAGTTTGAAATATTGTGAGAATTACCAAAATGTAGCACAGAGACACCAAATAAGCAAATGCTCTTAGAAAAATGGTGGCCAGAGACTAGTTCCATGCAGGGTTGCCACAAACCTTCAGTTCAAGAGGGGAGGAAAGAAGGGGAGAGAGGGGAGAAGGAAGGGAGAGAGGGAGGGGGGAAGGCTGGAAGGAAGGCAGGAAAGCAGTATCTGTGAAGCACAGTAAAGCGCAATAAAATGTGGAATGCCTGTACTGACTGTGTGTCTAATAAACATCAGTGGCACTTGGCGCATGTGAGGATCATTCATCTTTACCTTTTCCTTTAATATTTCAAGCAACAGTGGTGATCATTTGTGATGCACAGAAAAATCAAGTCACTAGATTGTACATCTGCAACTATCATAGTGCTGTAGGTCAATTAAACGTTAAAAAAAAAATTACAAGTAAGAAAGCTTAACCTGCACAGGCCAGAGACTCATCATTCTGCAACACCCCAGGCCAGAGCAAGATTCCCTATGGCCCCTCCAGGCTATTATTTTGCAAGAGCTGTCAGTCAGTCATTGAAATAGGACGTGACACAGCCTCACGCCGGTCTCACCTGTCTGGAGTTCGCCTCTTCCCGTTTTCGTTCACATCGAGAAGCAGCTCTGAGGAGTCAACAGGTGAGGTGGTGCTGGCATCCAGAAGCAGCTGTTCGTGCTGGGCGAGGTACTGGGCAGGGTTCTGTTTGGCCAGCCTCGCGCAGTGCAGGAGCTCCCGCTGCAGAAGCGGCAAGTTGGCCTGCAAGGGCAGAACAGGAATGAGAGCTGCACAGAGGCTCCTTCCAGCCAGGGGACCTACTCCACTTGGCGAACACTGGCGACCGGACCACACTACTCAGCTGAAGGAAAGGTCGCCGAACGCGCAGCTCCCAGACTTCCAGCACTGGCTACAGCTTAGCTTCCCTCTGGGCCTGGGGTGGATAAGATGCCTGAGGCAGGTCCCACCCCTCCTACCTTCAGGCCCATTCGGAACACTGGGAGTGGCTCCCATTTAGCATTCCTTCATAAGCTTAGCAGGGTGGGAGGTGGGAGGGAGCTTCAAGAGGGAGGGGACGTACATACATGGCTGATTCATGTTGGTGTATGGCAGAAACCAACACAAGATTGTAAAGCGATTACCACTCAACAAAAATATAAACTAAAAAAAGAAAGATCATAAAAAAAGCAAAAACAAAAGCTCCCTTCATATTCAAACACTGTAACCTCTACAGGCTATCAGATTCCAGCTCCACCTACGAGCAACTTTTGTTTCCCACTAGGAAGATAGATGGTCAATACTGATTTCAGACTGACTATATTCTTTGCAGCCAAAGATGGAGAAGCTCTATACAGTAAGCAAAAACAAGACCAGATGCTGTTGTGACTCAGATGATGATCTTCTTACTGCAAACTTCAGACTTAAATTGAAGAAAGTAGGGAAAACCACTAGACCATTCAGGTATGACCTAAATCAAATCCCTTACAATTATACAGTGGAAGTGACAAATAGATTCACAATATTAGATCTGATAGACAGAGTGCCTGAAGAACTATGGATGGAGGTTCAGGACACTGTACAGGAGTCAGTGATCAAAACCATCCCCAAGAAAAAGAAATCCAAAAAGTCAAAATGTTTGTCTGAGGAGGCCTTATAAATAGGTGAGAAAAAAAGAGAAGTGAAAGGCAAAAGAGAAAAGGGAAGATAATATCTGTCTGAAAGCAGAGTTCCAAAGAATAGCAAGGAGAGATAAAAAGCCGTTTTAAGTTATAAGTGCAAAGAAATAGACGCAAACAATAGAATGGGAAAGACTAGAGCTCTCTTCAAGAAAACTGGAGATACCAAGGGAACATTTCATGTAAAGTAGGGCACAATAAAGGACAGAAACGATATGGACCTAAGAGAAGCAGAAGATATTAAGAAGAGGTGGCAAGAATACATAGAAGAGCTATGTAAAAAAGATCTTAATAACTCAGATAACCATGACGGTGTGATCACTCACCTAGAGCCAGACACCCTAGAGTGCGAAGTCAAGTGGGTCTTAGGAAGCATCACTATGAACATAGCTAGAGAAGGTGATGGAATTCCAACTGAGCTCTTTCAAATCCTAAAAGATGATGCTATTAAAGTGCTGCACTCAATATGCCAGCAAATTTGGAAAACTCAGCAGTGGTCACAAGACTGGAAAAGGCCAGTTATTTAACTTTTTTAACTTATATGCAGAGTACATTATGCAAAATGTCAGGCTGGATGAAGCACAAGCTGGAATCAAGATTGCTGGGAGAAATATCAATAATCTCAGATATGCAGATGACATTATCCTTATGGCACAAAGTAAAGAGGAACTAAAGAGCCTCTTGATAAGAGTGGGAGAGAAGAGTGGAAAAACAGGCTTAAAACTCAACATTCAAAAAACAAAGGTCATGGCAGCCAGTCCCATCACTTCATGGCAAATAGACGGGGAAACAGGGGAAACAGTGACTGACTTCATCTTCTTGGGCTCCAAAGTCACTGCAGATGGTGACGGCAGCCATGAAATGAAAGACACTTGCTCCTTGGAAGAAAAGCTATGACAAACCTAGACAGTGTATAAAAAAGCAGAGACATTACTTTGCTGATGCTATGATTTTTCCAGTTGTCATGTATGGATGTGAGAGTTGGACCATAAAGAAAGGTGAGCACCGAAAAATTGATGCTTTTGAACTGTTGTGTTGGAGAAGACTCCTGAGAGTCCCTTGAACTGCAAGGAGATCCAACCAGTCCATCCTAAAGAAAATCTGTCTCGAATATTCATTGGAAGGACTGATGCTGAGGCTGAAACTCCAATACTTTGGCCACCTGATGTGAAGAAGTGACTTCACATGGAAACGATCCTGATGCTGGGAAAGACTGAAGGCGGGAGGAGAAGGGGACAACAAAGGATGAGATGGTTGGATGGCATCAGCAACTCGATGGACACGAATCTGAGCAAGTTCCAGGAGTTGGTGATGG